TGATTTCTCGCTTTCTATCTCTCTGTCTCTCTCTTGTCTTTCTGGTGAGCGCACATGCCCTATAGCAAAAACCTCTCCAAAAAAAAAAAAAAAGGAAAGTACTGTACCATTCCACTTCTGTGAGGTACCTAAAGTAGTCAAAATAATAGAAACAGGAAATGTTTGTTACCAGGAGAGTTGTTCAATGGACATAGAGTTTCAGATTTATTAGATAAAATATTTGTAGAGATTTATTTCATAATTTTGTGGATATACCTATCACAACTAAATTCTAAAGATGGTAAATTTTGTGTTACGTGTTTTGCCATAATAAAAAAATTCTTCAGTTATGGGAAGCCTTCAAAATCTTCATGGTGTTTTGTATTAAACTTCTAAAGTGCTGTGAGTGTGTATGCATGTGCATATGTGTGTATTAGACTGTAGGAAAAACGATATATATTTGCTTGTACTACACTAACCTTATTTATGTAGACCCTGTTATAGAACCTCCTTTGAAACTTCCCATGTGAGTCCTGAGAAATTTTTTAGTTTTATAAATTTGCATAATGTCTAGCCTAATATATTTTAATCAACAAGTGTAATATATTACATGGATAAAAGTACATATTATGTATCATATAATACATATATATAAATATATTATATAAGTATGTCATAGGTCTGGTTGCCCCTTGTTTTAGGATAAACTATTAATAACTACAATTAAATGATATAGTCAAGTTAATATTGTTTAGTGTTTAATCATATTTCACTGCTTTATTGCTACATCATTTATTTTTTAGCTTTTGAATCACATATAAACACATGAGGTGAAAACTTAACGACCTTATTGTCTATACTGAGTCACAAGTACTGGGATAGACCATATATCATTTTAAATGTATTTAGCTTTGGAAATCTTGTTTAACTTTTAGAATTACTTATTTTTTTTATCACTTTTTAGAACTTTGCTGCTGTCATTATCTGTTATTTTGTTTTAACATGAGAGACATATTTTTAAGTATATAAAATGGGGTCATTGTGCGGGATCTGAACTTGAAAAGCTAACATTTCTCAGGTTTCAAGATAATTTATTAGGCTGTCAGGAAAGTCATGAGGTATTTTGGCAGAAAAACAGTCATGACTTTCTCGACATTCCTGACAACCCAAGAGTAAATGTATGGGATCACCTACTGGTGAAAGAAAATATATTTCTACATATTGATTTCTTTGGACCTTGAATTTACCCCAATTAGAGGGAGGGAGGACTGTAAAGCCCTAAGTGTATAATCAAGGGAGTCCTGCTGCCAGATCATGCATGTTGCTTAAAGGTTACGTCAGCAGTTTTAAGTTGGAGATGCAGAAGCTTCTGAGAAGATACTACAAAACAAACACACCATTTATATGGAACCATAACATCGAACAGGCACACAATGGTTTCACATTGATGTACTAAAATGTTTCATAAAGGCTGAGACCAGGTTTCACTAGCACAGTAAATGGCATCTTGAATGTGTCAATAAATACTTAGTGAATGAGTTATGATCATTAGTTTGGACATTTTTTCCTCCAAACATTGAAAATTTGCCTTATGATTTCCCTCTTCCTTAAGGCCACATCCGTAATGTTTGATAAGAACAATGAGAAATACAATTTCTGTTACATAAATTTATTTTTTAGAAGTAAAGAAAAAGATTATATCCTGTGACTCAGAAACTATGAGTCAATAAGAAAAGTACACATAAGGAGCCAGCAAGTGGCATGGTGGTAAAGGCGATGGACTCCCATATGGCCAACTGCAGTTTGAGTCCCAGATATGGCAACTTGCTTTCTCACTTTCTTTCTCTCAGGTGAGTGCATGTACTATGTAGCAAATTAAGAAAATAAATTAATTAAATTTAAAAAATAATTCTTTTTTAAAAAATACACTTAAAGCTTCAATTAAAGGGACCAGCAGTTGGGGTAATGGCTATGTCGCTGGACTCCCACATAGTCGACCGCGGTTTAAGTCCCGGACCCGGTGGCTTAAACTCATGCCGGGCGCGTGTGCGTGCATGCCCAAGATCCCGAGAGGAGAATGGAGGAGAAGGGATTGCGGCGTGGCCATCCCCCCTGGGGAGTGATTTCTCGCTTTCTAGCTCTCTGTCTGTCTCTGTCTGGCGAGAGCACGCACCTTACAGCAAAAGACTCTCCAAAAAAAAAAAAAAAAGCTTCAATTAAAGACAGTAATAATGAAAAATGGCCCAAAAGTAGACTAAGTTAATGTAAAAGCTAATTAGAAAGAGGTGATATAAAATTTCACAGGCATTGTAATCAAATACTGCCAAGTTTGAATTTTAGCTCTTTTGCTTGGGTGCTGTATGAGACTGGATGAATTACTTAACGTTTCTGTCCTCGCTTTTCTCTTCCATTAAATTAGAGTTCTGTGGGAACCAGCAGTTAGCTTAGTGGCTATGTTGCTGAACTTCCATATAGCCAACCGCAGTTCGAGTCCCGGACCAGGCGGCTTAAACTCATGCCAGGTACATATGCATGCGTGTCCAAGATCCTGAGAGGAGAATGGTGGAGAAGGGATTGGCCATGCCCCCTTGGGAGTAATTTCTGATTTTCTGTCTCTCTGTCTCTCTTTCTGGCGAGTGCACACGCACTATAGCAAAAACCTCTCCAAAAAAAAAAAAATTATAGAGTTCTGTGAATATCTAATGAGCTCATGTACAAGCAATACTTTGTGCCTACTTGATAAATAGTAAGTGTGGCTATTGAATTTTTTTTTCTGAGTGCTCAGTTTCCTAATTTTCAATGGCCTATAAGCTTCTTAGGATAAAGACCATATTTTATTTCTAGAACCTACAGTGCCTGGCTAGGTCAGTATTTAATACAGGTATTAAATTAATAAACACGATTTATATATGTATGTATAATTTTTTAGATTTTTTTTTCTGTAAGGGTGGTGTGCTCACTGGAAAGACAGAGAGGGAGAGAGAGACAGAAAGCAAGAAATCACCCCCCCACCCCCCCAGGGAGGAGGCCACACCGCAATCCCTTGTCTCCATTCTCCTCTCCAGATTTTAGGCACACACACACACACACATGCCCGGCGTGAATATTTTTTAAGCTGCTGGATTAGGGGCTCAAGTAGTGGTCGACTATGTGAGTCCAGCAACATAGCCATTATGCTATCTGCTGGTCCCAAGAAGATTTATATTTTTAAGCAACTATTTGGTGACTATTGTGTGTGGTAATATGCAAGACCATGCACCATACACACTTGTACCTAAGGGGTATGTAGACACATACCCAACACAGTCATTTGAAATATAAAAATAGGGCATTTTGTATTGCTGAATAATGTATAAGTGCTTTGATTATTCAAGACTTACTATGATAATTAAGGAATTTACAAGAAATGATGAACTCCAGTATTAATAACTGCACACTGATTGGGGCCAGCAGATGGCAAAGTGGTTACATTGCTGGACTCCCACATGGCCGACCATGGTTTGAATCCCTGATCAATGACTCAAAACACACTGGATGTGTGTGTGCATGCGTGCCCAAGATCCTAGGAGGAGAAAGGAAGTCAAGGGATTGCTGTATGGCCACCCCACCTGGGGAATGATTTTTCACTTTCCCCCTCATTGTTTCTGTCTCTTTGGTGAGTGCATGTACCCTAAGGCAAAAACCTCAAAAAGAAAAATAATAATTACACACTGGATGGAGACTATATTTTGATATATTCACACACAGCCACATTCCCATTTGGCTACACAGTGACTTTTGCCCACTAAAGACTTTTCTCACTTACTTTCATTAAAAGAACTGGAGTTGATAAGTAGACAATCGGTTCTGAAATTTTCACAGTTAAAAAATGTAAAGCAGCTCTGTTCTCAGTAATCAGGACAGGCACCAATGATGAAGAAGAGATTCGTTTTTAATAAAAATATTTTACACATCAACCTGAACGCTCTCATGTGGCAAAAGTAAGAAGTGCAACTCCAAGCATATTTGACATATCTAAATAGGGATCAGCAGAACTGTAAATACTCTAGGCCATGTGATAGTTCTTGACACTTCTAAGTGAGGATCATTTTTGCTGATAACCCTTACCAATTTATGCACATATCAGAAGTGTGAAACATTCTCTGGATTTCGGTTCCAACGTATAACAGATTTTTCAAGGCTTATAGAATCAAAAACTGTTCCAAATAGATTGTAATAGGCTAAGCCTATTGCCAACATGAAATTATACTTGGAAGCAATGTTTCCAATGAAAACTAACGTGTTCACTTATATCTTTCCAGACAGATCAAAAATTGAGTCAGAAACCAAATTACTATCAAGGGAAAAATCATTCCCACTATAAACAAATATAAATTTGGGTTGAGTTTCAAGATAAGTCATTCTCCTTGAGATTATTCAAGAGGGATTTTTACACATTATCTTGTTTACAAGAACACACGTTATTTTAGATTCGTACTTAGCATAACACTGCATGCTATAGAAATGTAACATTTTCATAGAATGCAGCTTATTTTCCAAGTTAAAGAGTTAATGTGAAATAGAGTCATTTCAAAATAAAGTCCATAAACATTCAGCTTTCTTTGACAAATTCAAAAAAGTCAAAAGTTCAGGCAAATAGATAACACTGTAAAAATCATTTGATGATCAAAATAATCTTTCTTTCTCCTTTTCTCATCTACTCTTTACTATATCCAAAGATGGTTATTTAATTTCTCAAACTTCTTTGTGTCTTTCATAATATATGAGAATAATAAAATTGATATACTCACTGGAATACTTTGGAAACAACTGAATATACATAAGTACAAATTCAAATTCCAGATTTTTTTCCCTCAATAAGTTAGAAGATATTGGTCCTGAAAAAATGTTCAAAATCAATACACACTAAAAAGCTCATGGAAAACATGTTTATTTTAAAATGTCAACATTTAAATTGCAGTATGTAATTTTTAATACAGAATTTTAAGCATTCTTCAATCCTGTATATTATAAATAATAAATCTTTACTTCAGATCATTGGTAGGATATATTAAATAAGAGCTAATTAAAAATCTAATATTTATTTGGCATTCTTTTCTGTTTCAAAACACAAACTACCAGATCCTAAATGTTTTATTTTTTAAATTATGAAAATTAAGGCATGAAAATTGTGCATGTTTCAAATGAAGACATTTTCTTCTTACACCTTTAAAAATTAACAGGACAACTGCCTCCTACTTTTCCCTTTATAGGAGCTGAAACTTGATAACTACTAAGATACAAGTTAAGATTAATGGATAATCTTTATCATTTTTAAGTTTTGGTTCCATGCTTTTAAAAATACCATTCAGTCCTGGCTCATTTTTCTAATAGGAACTATTTAGTAACTAACAAATGAATAAATGAGTAGCTAATAATACTAACAGAAAAACTGGAGCAGACGAACTGATTATAATTTTACGTTGCATTCCTTTATGTAACTTGGTTGCATTTATTGACAGTTAAAAAATGTCCTAGTTATCATGGCAGAACTGAAAATGTGGAAATGTTATGATGTTCTACAACAGTCATCATGAATGACTTCCAGGTACTCTGCTACCTGAAGAAGCCTAATAATCACTGGCTTAGCATCTATTATGGCTGTGACTAAATAGCAATCAAATCTTACTCCTCTAACATCTGATCCTTTTAATCATTTCTGGATTACTCAGTGTCAGTGCTGGGTTTGTACGTATAACGTCAGTGCACACACATAGGGAGGATCTATCTCACATGACTAGTCCATGAAGATTATTTCTCATTACATGCAGTAAATATTACATTTACTTCAGACAAAATTAATCGCCCTTCTGAATGCTGATACTTTAGAGGTTTATTAGTATTGAGTAAGAGTGCATATTACTGAAAGATTTGCCAATTTTCTTGGCTTATTTTAGCCCACAGACCAATAACCTTTTCACTTCATAATTCTCTTGTACATAAGAACCAAATAACAATAACAATAAGATTACCACATTTATTTTCCTTTCAACATCTCACCTAACTTTTATTGCTATTGTAGGCCAGTTAGACTTAAAGGATAATAGTGAAAATAGCACTGAGCCAGGGAGTAAGGAGAATTTCATTTGATCCTTTAATCTATCCTAGACAAATTGCATGATTAGGGCAAGTGTGAGTGTCAATTTTCTCAAAAGCAACATAGGAAAAATGGTATCTGTCTCAAAAGATTGCTGCAGAATTAAAATGCAGTGGTATAAATGGCGATTGTAAAATATAAAGCGCTATTTCAGTCTGTGCTGTCATTACCATGATTTTCAGAATGCCTAGATTCTATTGTAGCTGTGCAATTTTTAAAGGCGTACTCCTCTTTCGGACACAAAAACAAGCTGAGTATTTCTGGACAGCACTGCAATAGAGAATGCAGCCAAGTAAACTGACAGGCCGAGACGAACCTTGTTTGGATATTCCTTTTCCAAATTGGCAATTCTCTTTTTAAAATGGAAGGATTTATTAACACATATGTAAGATTCTCATGAAATTTAATTTGTTAGATGCCTACATTAAGATGCTTAAAGTCTCAAACTTTTAAATATGGCATTTTATGCATGTATAGCCATGCTTTTTCATTCAATCACGGCCATTAAAATATTTTTTTCATATTGAATTACTTATCAAACTTTCAGCTATTTTGTATACAGGCTTAGTTGGTCACTAGCAAAGGTGAACATGAATTCTAGCTACTAAACCTAATATCAACCTGAAACAGACTGAAAGGTTAATTGAAGTTTTAATTTTATGCACCTGGTATCAATCCAAATGTTCCTCTTGTTTCAGTTCCAAGACATCTCCCATGTTTGTGAAGAACTTTAGACACATCACATGTAATAGTAAGTCTGGTTTTCATCATGAATTCACCCAGAAAATCCTGTTTTACAGGTGAATTAGGCTTTTACTAGGAATTAGTATTAGCTACAATGACTAATCTTACATAATGCATTTGTTTATTTTCTCCTGAAAAGTCAGAGCATATACTTCTTTGATGCTAAAATCTTATAAAAAAAATTTCTTGCTGCTTTTTTTCTCTGTGCTTAGCTTAACCCACTACATGCACCATCACAGAGTGTCTCCGAGCTTTTATCTAAAAATTAACTTTTAAAATATGTCAAAACAAATTAGGATGTCTCATCTTCATTTTTGATTGTTTTCAGCACTGAGTCTTCTCCCAAAATTTTACAAAGTTCATTGAGTCTCTGCTGCATTTTGGGAATTCCAGCTAGCTGAGATTCTAGCTTTTGTTTTTCTTCACTCAGTGTTAAACGGATAGCAGTATCCAATTGTTCAAAGCGCCAACCTCCTTCACCATCAAACTGTAATAAATGAGTGTGGTATTTCCTGCATAATTAAAATGAAATAATATTATTAGCCATAGCTGTGAAAATCCACTTTAGATACAGGTTTTTCATTCTAATTGATATACAAAGTCAAATTTTAAGAAAAGTTGCCAATTTTACACTTGATTTTCAAGGATACCACAAGAAGTTAAATATTGTGATTTTTTTAGACCTATGGCTTTATTCTAATCTCTAGAAAACGTTATTGATTACATTAAGATGATTTCCTATTCTCAATGTATATGAATTGCAAAGGAAGTCATGCTACTACACGTATTTAGTTTATCTTCATAACCTAGTATGGCTCCTGAAGAAATAATAAAGCATACTTAGAATGATAGTAAGGAAAGGAAGCTGAAGAAAGTATAAATTTAAAAGGGCATACAAAGAAAAACTAAGGAAATACAACAGCACTGTTCTGGAACGAGTTCTCCCAAATACATAAAAATTTGTTTTAATAATTGAGGTCTAATACTTTTTTTTTTTTTAATGGACTCTTTGAGGTTGACCCTGTTGCCTATTGGTTAAGGGAACGGGATGCCACATGGCCAGTTGTGGTTCAAAGTCTGCCCTAGAGGCTTAGAAAATGTGCTGGGAGTGTGTGCACGCATGCCCCAAATTCAGACAGGATAGAGCAATCAAGGAAAGAGACTGCATATAACTATGTCCCCTTGAGGGGTGCTTTCTCCCTCTCTCTCTCTGTCTCTCTCTGGTCAGCACACATGAGCTCTAGCAAAACTTACAATAATAATAAAAGAACTCTCTGGTAGAAATCTTTTGAAGAAACTTCCACATCATGATATAACCTAATCTGTTTTCTTGTGGCTTAGTTTCATAATTAGGAACTTTATAGAGGTACAGAGATGATTTTATTGATGAGATAAATTCAGATTTTCTTTTTTCTTTTTTTAAAGATTTTTTTTTTGCCATAGGGTGTGTGTGCTTGCCAGAGAGAGACAGAAACAGAGAGAGGAAAGTGAGAAATCACCTGCTGGGGGATGGCAACACTGCAGTCACTTCTTTTCCATTCTCCTTATTGGATTTTGGGCACATACGCACACATGCACACATGCCCAGAGTGAGTTTCAAGCCATTGGGTCTGGGACTCGAACCACTGTCTGCCATGCGGAAGTCCAGCACCTTAGCCTCTACACCACCTGACCCAAAGGGGAGCTGAGGTCATCTGTGTCTGGGACTGGTGTGGGATGCGTGGAGAGAGTGAAGTGGGCAGAGTTTCCCATATGGCTGAGCCTCTTGCAGTGTGTCCCTTTGTTGAACTGGCCCATGTTCTTAAATGTCCTGTTTTCCTCTCCTGTTTTCCTCTCTCCCTTATAGTATTTCTCACCTCTTACTTCCTTTTAAGCTCTCATCTGTCACTATTTACTATGACTAGTGGGTCTTTTTCAAGCAACTTCTCCTGCTTTTATAAAAATTCAGATCAAATTCATATGCCATAAATTCACTTTAAAAGTGTAATTAATATTCAGTGATACTTTTTGGTTGATTCATAAGTTCATATAATCATCACCACTAATTTCAGAACATTTTCTGTTCCCTCACAAGAAATCCTATACCCATTAACTAGCCTTCTCCATTTTCCCTTCCTCCATGTTCCTGCCAAACATTAATCTCCTTTCTATTTTTACGGATATCTCTGTTTTGGAGATTTCATGTACATGGAATCGGCCAATATGGGGCCTGTCGTGTCTGATCTCTTTCACTTATCAAAATGATTTCAAGGTTCATCCAGTTGTAGTATGTATCAATACTTCATTTTTTATGGCTAAATAATATTCCATAGTATGCCATTGTGCATTTTGTTTATCTAATCATCAATTGATGAACATTTGAGTTCCATTCCTTTTAGATTGGATTTTTTAAAGAGATTTTTTAAAGTTTATTTATTTATTGAGAGAGAGAGACAGACAGACAGACAAAGAGAGTCAAATATCCTCAACAGGGTCTTCATGCCACAATCCTTTCCTCCCTAGTCCTGCAGCCAACCACGATCATGGCCCCAGTGAAAATGTTGAGGCAGACCCAAGCTGTGAGCCCACAGCCTTCCCACCTGGTCTTCAGCATCATGCAGCAGTACCTCTCCTGCCTGCCCCACTGCAGCTGGGACTGGGATGTGCTTAACATGCTGTAAAATGGGAAACTTTAACCTAGTTTAAGCTAGGTTAAACTGCAGCTAAAAAAGTAAAGTCACTGTCAGGATGAAATTTTAAGTTTGTATAACACATGACAGAGATTAAGGATATTTTCCATATTCACTTAGGTTCTTGAGTTTTCCAAAATTTTGGCCTTTCAACAGATGGTACCTTACCAAAATTAAATTGAAAACAATGCATTTCTACGTCAAGGAGGAAAAATGTGTAAAAAACTGCTGTCAAAAAACGAAAGCTAAACAAAATTAATGAAAAAATAAAAGAAGGATGATCATACAATGAAAAAAAGAAACAATGGCATAAAGTTCATTTTATTTTATTTTGCTCTCCACTTTTCTTAGGCCTGCTTAGCCCTGGCTCCACAGCTAGGAGTTATTTCAGAATGTGATCATTCATATCTTGGGCAAGTTGCACCTTCCATGTGTAATGAAGTTCTGAGTCATCGCTCTGGTCCTGCAACATTATTTGATTTCTACATGGGAGGAACAAACTGTGTAGGTGTTTTGTGCCCTGAGATTCAAAGGTGTGTTCTATATCATGAACTGAAATAATATTTCAGGGTTTATCTTAAAAGAATTCAAAAGAAACTGCCATTTTAACTGACAGTCACTGGAGGTAATATGTAGGCTTCCTTCATGAATAGGATAAAGCATAGGGGAGTGGTCATTACTCAGCTATAATTCTATCCAGCAATCAAACAATTTAATAGGCTTCTGTAATTTTTTTACTTCTTAAAACACTGGCATGGATTTTCATCTTTAAAATCAATGATTATCTCTTTGTTGTTATGTGAAAAAATCATACAGTTTTTTTCCTCTGCTGAAATCTTTTCAGGGGAATTAAGTTTCATATTACTGGGAAAGAAAAATAATCAGAAATGACAACTTTCTACAATCTAAAATGGCTAATTCACAAAGTAGTACAACAGGATGTAGTTATATGAAGAACCATACTGTGACTAGCTGCAATCAAAAATGTGTTTTTCTGGGAACCAGCAGTTAGCGTAATGGCTATGTCGCTGGACTCCCACATAGTTGACCGCAGTTCACGTCCTGGACCCGGTGGCTTAAAACTCACGCCGGGTGCGTGTGCGTGCGTGCCCAAGATCCCAAGAGGAGAATGGAGGAGAAGGGATTGCAGCGTGACCATACCCCCGGGGTGGTGATTTCTCGCTTTCTGTCTCTAATGTCTCTCTCTGTCTGTCTGGCGAGCACACGCGCCCTTATAGTGAAAATCTCTCCCCCCCCAAAAAAAAAAGATTAAAAAAAATGTGTTTTTTTCATGAAAAGATTTAACATGAAAGATTTTGTTATTTGCTTAAAAACTACTCATTCTTTTATTTGAGAAAACAATGGCTTTATATGTTTCCGGTATCTCAGTAGGTTACTTGAATGAGGAACTGAATGACAGGATAGCATATTAAATCTACTGACAGATCAGAAAAACTAAAAACTGAAAGATAACTCCATGCTATCCCAACATGTGATCAGTTTGGGAGTATGTCTAGAAGTTACAGGTTCATGCCAACAGGGCTTATGACATTTTTTCTTTTTTGGAGAGGTCTTTGCCATAGGGTGTGTATGTTCTTGCCAGAAAGACAGAGAGAGACAGAGAGACAGAAAGTGAGAAATCACCCCCAAGGGAAGATGACATCGACACAATCTCTTCTCCTCCATTCTCCTCTTGGGATCCTGGGCACACACACACATGCACCCGGCATGAGTTTAAGCCATCAGGTCTGGGATTCAAACCACGGTCGACTACATGAGAGTCCAGCAACGTAACCATTACGCTATTTGCTGGTCTCAGGGCTCATGTCTTTTGGCCTAATTCTGTGTCTTCTCCCATTTGGAGGATTTACAAACAATTACAAACAAATGTCTAATTGTCTTAATGATCCAGAAAATGCTGGTCTTCTCGAGGGAAAAGTCAGAGGAATCACACTCATAGACACGTGCCCTGATTCATGCTGGACTAGATGTAGGCCGCCTCTGGAGAGATCAGCAAATCAAGGTCCTACCACTCTGATGCCATTTAATTCCTAATGGCAGAAAGACAAACCATACAATTCAATTTCATAGATAGGGTCAATTTGTGAAATGCTCTATTTTCAGGTTTACTCCCTAAGGGGGAAAATATTCAGAAAAATCTGAATATTGAAATGGAGTGTGAGAATAGATTATCATCTTTCAATAGAAATGGAACCTAGAGCCAAAGACTTTTGCCTGATGTGAACTGGATACTCAGTTTTGCTCACTAGCTCGACGTCAACATTCTCTACAGGTCTCGAAGGGTTTCAAGGGTTAATTCAAATCAGACTTGTTTCTAGTCTAGGTTTGAAGACATGTACTCAAGGACAGCTTTGGCATGGAATCTGGAAAGCCACCTGCCACAGGATATGGCAGTGAGAAAAAGAGGGATCCTATGCCATTCCTTGGGAAATAGGAGGCCCGAGCATGTATAGAGTCATCTATAGATACTAATATGTCAAAAGAGCAGATCTTGATTGATGAAGTAGAAATGCCAAATTAAAAAAAAAAGAGAATGTAGTGTAAGTGATCAAGTGTCTTCATATTTTATGCACAAGATATATTTTGAGTTCCTTATGATAGAGCAGTGTACTAATAGTACAGCGTGGCCTTGGAAGTTATTTTTCTCATTTTTTAGTTCTCAGTTTCAACATCTGTAAATGAGAAAATTAGACCTCTTTTTTTGAGAGTTTTTTTTTCTACAGGTTGCACTCACCAGAGAGACAGAGAGATAGAGAGACAGAAAGCAAGAAATCACCCCCCAGGGGGGATGGCCATACTGCAGTCCCTTCTCCTCCATTCTCCTCTTGGGATCTTGGGCACACACACACACACACACCCGGCGTGAGTTTTAAGCCACTGGGTCCAGGACTTGAACTACAGTCAAATACATAGGAGTTTAGCGACATAGCCATTACGCTAACTGCTGGTCCCTAGACCATTTACATTTCACAAGATTGTTATGAAGCCTTAATAAAATGAGTTTGGAACAGAATAGGTGCTAAATCTTCAGTAGCAACTATTATTATTATAATAAATCAATGGAAAAGTCAGGGAATCAAAGAAATAGTGTCATTTTTTGAATTGGTAAATCCCATTGGGACCAGAAGATGGCATAATAAATCACTGGACTCCCACATGGCTGACCATAGTTCAAGTCCTGGACTTGACAGCTTGAAACTCACACTGGGCATGTGTGCGTGCACACCCAAAATTGCAGGAGGAGAATGGAGGAGAAGGGATGTGGCCATCCACCTTAGGGGGTAATTTCTTGCTTTCTATCTGTCTCTCCAGCCTTATAGCAAAAATCTCTCTTTAAAAAAAAAAGAAGAAAGAAAGGGCAGATCTCATTAATGATATATTATTTAGTAAAGATTTTAGTTCATCTTTCCATGGAATAAACTAAAATAAACTTGGGACTAGCAGGCGATGTAGTGATTAAGGCACTGGATGCCTACATGACCAACTGCAGTTCGAGTCCTGGACCCAATGGCTTGAGGGTCACACTGGGCACATGTGCATATGTGCTCAAAATCCCGAGAGGAGAATGGAGGAGAAAGGACTGTGGGATGGGTCATCCTCTATGGAGGTGGGTGGGTGATTTCTCACTTTCCCTCTAGCACACATGTCCTATGGCAATAACCTTAACAAACAAACAAAAATAAGCATTTTTACCCAACCAGTATTTTCTCCAACTTAATTGTTTTGGGGATTATCAGTTGTGGTCTATTTTAATCCTAGGATTTTATTTTCCTGGATTTTAAATAAAAGATTAAAATAATAATAGTGTAAAAATATATAAATACACTCTTCTCAATACCTGTTATAAGATTATGAAAAATATTCCAGTTCAAATAATTCTCAAATATCACATTAAAGTTATGATATTAAGTTGAAAATAGCTAAACTGCTAGTGTGCAACTTAGGAAAAATACAGGAAGGAAATATGAGAAATGTCTTATCCTTTAGAGTGAAAAGTTTAGCAAAGTTATTCTTTAAGAAACATAAAGTGGGGCCAGCAGATGGTGTAGCAGTTACATCGCTGGACTCCCACATGGCCGACCACAGTTTGAGTCCTTGACCAGGTGGGCCGAAACTCATGCCAGGTGTGTGCGTGCATGTATGCCCAAAATCCTAGGAGGACAGTGGAGAAGAGATTGCAGAGGGACCATTCCCTCTGGAAAAACGATTTCTCACTTTCCCGCTCGCTTTCTCTGTCTCTCTGGCGAGTGCATACTCCCTAAAGCAAAATTCTCTTTTACAAAGGGACAGAGAGAGAAAGAAACATAGGGAATAAACGTCTGTTACAAATTAGCATTGGAAGGGCCAGCAGGTGACATAGAGGTTAGGGTGTTGTACTCTTACATGGCCAATGGCAGTTCAAGTCCCAGACCTGGCAGCTTGCTTTCCCACTTCCCCTCTCTATCTTTCTCTCTCACTCTGTTCCCCTGTGGTCAAATAAATTAAATTAAATTAAACAATTCTTAAAAAAAAAATTAGCATAGGAAACACTCACCAAAGAGAAGGCCTGTGCGTGATAGACAGTAAGGAAATACCAGCTGCTTTTGCAGCCTGAAATATCTTTCCTTCCACATCAATGCTGACAGCACTGGTACATTCATCCAGCAATGCATATTTTGGTCTTTAAAAGAATAAACACAGATTAATGATTTTGCTACTTGAATTATGAATCTTTCTTTGTACAATATGAATTATAGAACTGGAATGCTAACAACTTTAAAGGAGCAAAAGAGAATATGACATTATTAAAGGTGATAAGTGACAAAACAAAAAAGTAATCACTAATTCTTTGGACTAGAATTACATTCTTCTTCAATTTAAATGAATTTTCTGATACCTGCTCACAGTACAATAGGCTTTATTGTTATGCAGATGAATGCATCATATATATGAGACATAGGACAGACGAGGAAGGTCACTGAGTATATTTTCCTGCAGAAGACAGGTTCATTCTTGGTGACAAGTGTCTGACTAATTACATGAAAAATACATTACGGTAACTAATTATCAAACAGGCCACAGCTCTGTTAGCAAACATTTAATGAGAAGGTTATTTTATCAGCAATGTGAACACCTAAATATTACTAATGGAATTTCATAGCTACCAGACTGTTCAAGAGTGAATATGCCTAATCACACAAATTTAGAGTAGGCATTTAATCTCATACTATTGGAACCATGTTTCAGAATGCAATTCTTGGGGGCAAAAATCAACAAATATTTTCTGATTATACTCAACAATCTTTTTTTCCTAGCTTTTTAATTTTTAAAAAAATTTGCTACAGAGCATGTGTAATTGCTGGACAGAGAGACAGAGAAAGAGAGAGGGAAAGCGAGAAAGCACCCTCCAGGGTGATGATCATGTCGCAATGCCCGCCTTGCCTCTCCTCTCAGGATTTTGGGCACACAGGCACACCCACCTGGAATATCTTCCAAGTCACCTGGTAGGGACTTGAGCCTTGCAATTGGCCATATGGGATCTAGTCACCTTAACCACCAGGCCTCCTAGCTGGCCCTCTAGTTCACTTTTTACTTTGGTAATGAATATCTACTATCAGGGAAGTCACTTGCCACTACTTCCTTCAGTTGACCCCTTCTCCCTTTCATCTCATTCTGGCTCTTATCTTTGTCTCCTCCCTTTCTTCTTCCAGCTTTGCACCTTAGATATGTATACACTTGGTACCCCGCAACATGACTTAGCTTAGTCAGTAGGACCAAAATCAACTCTTACACTGTCTTTCACTATTCATTTCAGGGTTGAAAATGAGAATCAAAGATTTTCCAGGATAGCTGTCTTCATAAAGATATTTACTTTTAAAAAGGTAAATGAGAAAGAACAAAAAATTGAAATCAGTAGTAATTTCTCATCCTGCATAAATAATTATTTAGCACTCGTGGTAAGTTACTTTTCTAACATGGACATGCTATGTTTTTAATATTTATTTCATTTATTTATTGCTATTGCCTCGGGAACATGTGCTCACCAGAGACAGGGACCACTCCTCAGTGGTGCATGGTCATGCCACAATCCCTTTGT